GGGGGCTTGCAAGGAGACAAGGCCCCCGCCCCATTAACCCGGAGACGAGCTTTCTTTGCCTTGGAAAACAAGCGCGTTGTAGGAGACACTAGGTGCAAGGCGTCCAGAGGACAGAGGAGGGCGCTGCCGGGCCAGCGCTGCAGCGAAGGAGCCGCCTGGGGTCTGGCTAGTCCCTGCGTGGTGAAGTGGGGTAGGCTCCCAAGAGGAAAGGACCAACGCCCTACAGAGGTGTCAGTCTGTGCTTGGGCGCGTCATCTGCCGGCTCGTGAATTCGCATAAGGCCCAGCCTGCAGTGAGATGAGGAAGGAAACACAGTGGAGCTGGTTCCATTCCATGCAGAGCACACAAGCATATGAAAGGCCCACATTTCTACAAGGAGATGTGTTGGGGTGAGGAGAGATTGCTCTAGGAATCTGGGCGTCTGTAGTTCCAGGTCACAGTAATTCTCACTAGCTGTGACTGCAGGCGCATTGTGATGTTTCGAAAGTGAGAAGGTTTGGCCTGGGTGATTATTGAAGTCCTTTGAGCTCTTAATCCTCAAATCTTCCTCTGTAGGCATGTACCAGTTACACATTCAAATAGTAAAATCATTAGCAACATCCTTTTGGGAGGCAAAGGCCTGCACAAGTGCAACACACACACACACACACACACACACACAATTTGTATTCCCAAAAACGTGATTAGAGCAATAGTGTTTTACATATCTAATACTTTTACAGGTTAACAGAAGGGAAGCTGGCTAGGTAAAGAATCCCATTTTAATCCTTTCGTAAAGAAAAGAATCTTGTGAATATTTTTGCTGCTCAAGGGAAACTTGGTTTAGTTTCACAAACTCGCATTTTCTGGGTTCCGCTGCTCCCTGGGCAGCAGGTGCAGAGGGGATGGTGCAAACCGTGGGAGGTGGTGGGTAGGGACGTGCCCGTGCTGGGGTTCATTCCGTACGACTTCAGCCCTTTGCGCAGTGGTGTACTGGGAGCCCTGTGCTTTCATTTAATTTTTTTTTAACAAAAGCAATTACAGAAAAGTGCAAATTTAACGTGTGACATTTAACATTTTGCCGTGGCAGGCAGCCTCCACTTAAATGGGGCCTTTCTGCGGAACAACAGGAGCCAAAAGGCCTGGTGTCGTGGACTAATGTAAGACACAATCTGGGCTGCAGACGCACAATGAATCGGGAAGGATTTATGTAATTAATTGACCAGTCTTAACCTGTTATCGTGATGTAAGGAATTTGGAACTCATTAATTTGGGCTCTGACAGATTTCATATTAGAGCTGGCAAATATGGATTGAGCCCCTTATTCTTGTAGCAGCTGGAATTTCCATGACAGTGAGGATTAGTGAAGAAGACCTATTGCAGGAGTCAAACTGCCTCTTTGTAATCAGTAGCCCTGCTCTGCATTAAAGGCACCACAAAAAAAAAGAAGAAGAAGAAAAGGAAAAAAAAAGGAAAAAGCATTTTACCTGGCTAAAGGGCCAGAAGGGGCTTGTGCTCACGTTGCTGGCGTGTGGATTGAGCTCAAGCGTTTGCAGTTAAATGAAAACATTCATTTCAGTCGTAAAGTTAGGTGGTTTCTCAAACGCCTTGAGAGAAGGAGAAGGTAAGGATCTCAGGGTCAGGTTTGGTATTGTTGTCGGAGTTAAAAGGGATTAAAAGACAGAGCCTTTGAATTTTCTCTGTGTGAATGCAGAGATTGTATGCAGAAGGAAATAGCAGTCTCATGAGGGGCAAATGGCATTTCTTATAATGTCATAGCCACAAGTGAGCAATTCAGGGCCTTGGAGGTGAGACTGGCTTCCTCAGGAGCCACTTGCTGTGCTCCTCTGTGGACCCCATGAATTCCAAAACTCACATAATGAGCATTTCATCAATAACCTAATCTGTGTTCTCTGTAGCATTTGATGTTTAATGAATCACCCCCTGGGAAATGTCTAGTTTATTCTTTGAGATTTTAAGAAAACCTAGTCAAAATCTAACTTTCACTCCTCAGCCCCTGCCTCTCAACTGCTACTTGACAATCAGAAAATTGCTAGGTTGAAAAACAGTCCCAAAATGAAACAATGCTTTTCCCCCCTTCCTTTCACAATAGCTTCTCCCTATTGCTGAACCGTGTGATAAGGTTAATAAAACAACTGCCATAAGGATCATTAATACAGGCAGATAAGCAAAGTTGCATGTTTAAAACACTTTCAGGGTATCATTTGCCTCCTCCTGCTGATAAAGAAGGCTTCACGAACAAGTGCAGAATAAAGGCACTGAACATTTAACTTTTCAGATAGAAAGCCCAACTGACCTTTCCTGATACGTTATTTCTCATAAGTACTCTTCCAAATTGGGGACTGACCGCTTTTGAAGTATATTGTTTACTTTGTATATTACCTTTAAAAAATTTCCAATCAAGCATCAGTTAAAATTTAATATAACAAATATTGTTACAATATAAATCTTTGCAACAACAAAAAAGATTTCCAACTCTCCCGCTGTGGGGAAGCATTGGAAAATTACATCCCCCTCTTTTTTTGTTGTCTTGATTCCAACCAAAGTAAAGAATTTTTATTTTTATTTATTTTTTAGTTAGTGATAATGGGATTTGATGTAGCAATGAAGGACTTGGTACAAAGATTTGTTTTGTGATTATCTTGTTAACAAGTGATTTCTTTAGGCTTGGTTCCGTTTAAATGAATGCATGAAGATAAACACTAGAAATTGCATCGATATATTAATGTTATCCTTCACATTGAGAGCGAAAAGAGGGCCAGTAGTTGTTATTGGTATTATTATTTTAGTGGAAAGGCTGTGAAGATAAACAATTGATATTAGTGAGACTTGGATAACTAGTATAAACCATGACAAGGGTGATTAATTGTGTATATAAACACACTTCAAATTTGTATACACAATCTCAGCTCTCACCTAGGGATTCCTTTGTATTTTCTGAAAGGGTAATTTCTAAGTTGGCAATTACAAGGTTACCAAGTCATGTGCTGTGTGTTCTGTTTATGTGTCGGAGTTACGGAGTGGACATATTGAAGCCTGATTTCCTGGAGCATGTGTCGACTGGGAGGAAGTCGGGGTGCGCTGGCTTTGCTGTTCCGCCAGTGCAAACCCGAAGGTGGCGCCAACCCTCTCTGGACTATGGTTTCCTCGTCCGCACAGTGAGAAGCTTGGATACAGGATGTCCTTAAAGGTGTTAATAAGTGTTGCTAAAAAACGTGGGGGAGAGCAGAGATCCGGTAGAGGCTTCCATGGTCAATAACATTTCAGACACACTGGGTTGAATGAAGTTAATGTTCATTTTCTGCAGGACTTCTCAGTGCCTTTCATATGTTAATATGTAGTTTTCTTAAACCGATTTGAAGAAGAGAATCCAAAATACTCTGACCTTTTGAACTTATAATACTTTGTATTCCTTCCCAGAATGATTAAGGGGCACTTGCATTCACCTTAGGTGTTCTCGAGGCCAGGGTTCAAGCAAAGCGTGGATGTCACCAAGAGAGGAGGATTCTCCTTCAGGGACCAGGTCGTGTAAAAAGGTAGGGACTATGGTGCTAAGGTTAAAGCTGTTTCATTGCTTACAAGGTGTGTGGCCTGGAGTGTACCACTCCACCTTTTGGAGTTTGTTTCTTCATTGATACCTTGTGGGTAATGTTCTCTCTGCTTCGACGGGTCTTTTCCTTTCCCATTCCAATGCCCTCTTGCGTGACTGGTTCCTACTAGTTACTCAGGACTGACGAAGTGTCTCCTCTGAGCTGATGCCACTCTGACCACACCACCACAAGTCAGATGCCTTTTCACATTGTCTCTGTAGCAGGACCCCCCTGGTCCCCATGTGCCTTCTGGCACGTGCATTCCCCTGCATGGGTGGTCCCCTCTCTGTCCCTCTCTTCAGGCAGTAGCCCCTGGAGGGTGAGGACTGCATTTCATGTGTGATCCCCACCACCCAGCTCCAGCCCACAGTTTAATGCGGAGAACATTCTGGAGTCCATGATGAATCACCGAAGGCCTGCAGACCCTTCTTAAAGTTCCTTCCCTGTGACACAGCCAGCTAAAGTGGCAGAAGAGCTTAGAGAATGGGGGTAGGTAATTCAGAGACGTTTGTCTCCTTGAACTTGGAAACGTTGGTTGTCCTGAGGGTGGAGGAGAGCGCTCTGTTTCAGTGCCTCGTTTCCCATTTCTTTTGGCAGTAGATCTTGGGATGGTGGTGTAATTGTCCACTCACTACGTCTGCATGACAGTCAGAAATCTTTGTTCAACGAAGAGAATACTCTTTTCATTGATCGAAGAGACCATTCAACAAAATGTGTTAATGCAGTACTTCTTTTGGTCAGCTTGTTTCTGATAAGACACCGTGCGAGACTCAGCGGGTATACAGGACAGTGACATTCAACAAGTGGTGGACGGTTAAGTCGAAATGTTGGACTCTGTGGGCCGGTGAACATTTTCTCCGAGTGTGTGCTCCTATGCCGTAGAATGCCATGCAAAGCTGAAGCCCAGTCTGACTTTAAAAAAGTACTTACAGAATAATTTAAAGTTTTACTCAAGTCTCCTAAAACACACCAAAAGAGTCTAATTTTAACCCCCTCAAGCTTTCTTATAGTTCTTTCCTGAATTGGGGTTGCCCCTCACTATATTAAATAGCAATCCTCCAAACTCGAAAGGGACATTTTTGTATGGATTTTGACAGTGAGTTGTGCTGTGAGCAATTTAATTTAAGGTTGTCTTAGTGCAGGACAGGTGTTTGTGTAGCCTGTGGTTCAGCCTGACCTCTGGAGGAAGACAAAATGTAACCATAATAAACATTGACTGAGTTTTAACACCGGCCCAGGAAAAAATAAAGGAATCATGAAGGCAAGTGAGATGATACTGTCTATTGGAGCAAAGGAGACAGTTTGTAAGTAAAGGAGGAGCTGGGGTTACATGAAGAACGCTAACTATAACAAAGAGACCCAAAGTGCAGTGGCTTAGTTGAGTGAGAAATCAACTTCTCTTTCAGGAACCGTGGAAGGCAGGCGGGCGAGCCCCGCTCCAGGACGTCACTCAGGGACCCAGGCGGGTGCCATGGCACTGCCGTCCTCCACACGTGCTTTCCAGACTGCTCCAGGCACTCCTGCTTCCAGCCAGGAAGAAGAAAGTTGGCAACACAACTGGGGTGAGCACCATTTAATTCATGTTTTCAACAGAAAATCTTAAACACACACAAATGTACAGGTAACGTATTATGAGACATACCCATGTGCCCTTCACTCAGCTTAAAGTTATCTTCGTCTGGTTAAACATGTATCGTTCACATCTCCCAGTAAGGCCCTCCTGATTTTAAGTCCCATTTCAGGCCTCTTTAAGAAGATGATCTGGCAGTTGTACCGATCGCTCTATCACTCGGTAGGTGCTCAGTCACATGGCCATCTACCTACAGGCAAGGCTGGGCGAAGTCTCTAGCTGAGCAGTCTGGGAGGGAGGAGAGAATGCCACATCTGAGGTGATAGGATTTGAGGGGGGTCCTTGAGAAAGGCCGTAGGGATCAGAGCTAAATCGCTCAGGGGAAGACTACAGACATCTCTACACTTCACTAGAATCCCGTGATGACGCTCACAGGAGGATGCCTTGTGAAAGGCTGCACTGAGTCTTGTGCAGTTGAATTTTCAGCAATCGCAACATTTGCCGAACAAAAACAAAAGAGCAAAATGAAGTGCTTAGAAGGCCGGCATCGGATCGTGCTCGTTTTCTCACCTGTGTAAAATTAGCTGAGAGAATGGTTTTAGAGGAGAGTCAATATATGTAGAAATTATGAAGCTAGTTTATCTGCTCCTGCTGCTGGGAACTCTGTCTTTCAAAGTGTTTTAAGAAAGGCGTGTGTTTGAGACTTGGCGTATTTTCATGTAACAAAGAGGGAACAAGACACCACGGAACTTAAAATGAGCAAAATAGGAACTGGTTTAAACGGGTTCATCGAAGAATTAATTTATGTCAAGAAGCATTTATTGAGCGTGCACTGTGTTCAGAGGATTGTCCTAATTTTCCAGGGGATACAGTAATAACAAGCCTACAGTCCTTTTGCTCTGGGGTTCTCAAGCTGAGGGCAGATACACAGGGAAAGAGCCAACCGTGTAACACAAGACAGAATGAATTAGGTGCCATGGTTGACATCCATTGTTTTTTCCTGCCCGCGATCCGTCTCTTCCCCCAAATTTCTTCATCTTCCTCAGGGGCCAGCCCTCTTCACTCTCAGTTCTCAATGGAGCTGACTGAATCTTCCTGCCAGGAGGGGGTGACGACCCAGATCTAGCCAAACAGAGCAATGGTATTTTCCTGGCCCAAGCGATTGGTTCAGGAGTGGGCACGTGACTTTATGAGAACCGATGACTTTTGTGCAGCTGTGGAGAAAGGAAACTCTTTTTTTTTTAAAGATTTTATTTATTTATTTTTAGAGAGGGAAAGGAGGGAGAGAGAGAGGGAGAGAGAAACATCAATGTGCGGTTGCTGAGGGTCATGGCCTGCAACCCAGGCATGTACCCTGACTGGGAATCGAACCTGCAACACTTTGGTTTGCAGCCCATGCTCAATCCACTGAGCTACGCCAGCCAGGGCTAGAAACTCTTTTTATCGCTGGGGCGGCTGGGATAGGAGGCAAGGCAGGGGCACGCCTGCCTGAGAACGAGAGGAGAGCGGGCCTCGATGCCGTCCTTTAATCTGCTAGCACGTCCCATGCCAAGCACCGCAGTGAACACATTTACTGATTTATCCATTTATTCACTCACTGACTCACTTTACTGGCAGTTGTATTTAATCCCTATGCCATTAACACGAGGCCGGCAACATTATCCCCCACTGTAAAGATGAGCCCACTGTTAATTAATGGAAGAGCTGGAACGGAACACAGGTCTGTTTCTAAATCCTTACTAATTTCCCCAGACACAGCTTTTGAGGAGGAAACGGCTTTTAGACTACTGTATTTTCTTAACTCCTGGAACAGTGCATTTGGTTCGAAGGGGCTCCTTATGCGTTCACTGGCTGAGTGCACATGTGTGGTGGGAGGGGAGGCGGTGCGGTCACCCAGAGCAGGGGGCACATGGAGGGGTGCAGGGGGGCGTGGAGGAGGGGATGGGTTCACACGGGGCAATCGTCATTGTGGACGCGGGAAGAGCTGATGTGCCAAAGTGGGACTGGAATCCGGAGAGAGGTCACAGTTACAAATCTGGGGATCCTCTGAGAGGGAAACGGACGACCATCTTTGCACAAATGTCATGTCAGTGAGGCCTTCCTTGACTCCAAAGTGTTATCTCCTCTCGACTCCCCCACTCCCTCCCTACCCTCTTCCCCCCTTTATGTTCTCCACAGCACTCACCACTTATATTTAGTTTACTTGCCTGTTTGTTTTCATCTGTCTTTTCTGTACCCCCATGGTCGCTGTTTTTCACGTGGAATCCAGTGTGCCTGGGCACCGGCTGCTGGGTACACAGAAGGTGCTCAGCTGATACCTGTTGGATGAATAAATGAAGGACTGGACGTGGATGAGGTTGCTCACTGGTGGCAATGACAAATGACAGGGGAGGCTGGACAGGAGGCCGAAGAAGAGGAGATCCTGGAGGAAACTGGGGATGCTTAAGAAGCAGAAGGCAAATCAATGAAGAGCACTCTGCAAGAATAAAGAAAAAAGCAGAGGGTTTCAAGAAGACAGCAGTGGGCCGGGTCAAATGTTGCTGAGAGGTCAAAACTGGTCAAGATCATTACATGTGGAGTGAGTTCTCTTGGGTAAGGTTGTTCGGCAGCATGACGTAGCAGCGCCTGGGACTCAGTCAGTTATGAGAGTTTGACTGTCAGTCCTGCTGTTTGATGGGATGTGAACATGGGTCACTCTCGGAGCACCTGAGCCTTGGTCTCTTTACCTGGGAAATGGATAGAATACTGACTGTACCTCAAAGCACAATTTTGAGGATAAACTGAATTACTGTATGAAAAGAGCATGTCTATTGGTGAATTATTACCCTAGTTACTGATTTTTTTTTAAAGATTTTATTTATTTACTTTTAGAGAGGGAAGGGAGGGAGATAGAGAGAGAGAGAGAGAGAGAGAGAGAGAGGAAGAAAGACATCAATGTGCGGTTGCTGGGGATTATGGCCTGCAACCCAGGCATGTGCCCTGGCTGGGAATCGAACCTGGGACACTTTGGTTCCCAGCCCGTGCTCAATCCACTGAGCTATGCCAGCCAGGGCATGTTACTGATTTTCAAGAAGTAGAATAAATATAGAGAGCAAATAGATATGAATAAAGAGTGTCACAAAAATTGCCATAAGCATTATTATTTGGGAAAAATTGATTTCAAGAGAAAACAAAATGCATGGTGATTCTTGCTGCTATTTTCAATCTCTATGCATATTCACCTGAAAGTGAGCACTCTGTATTTATGAACTTGAATTTGGGGCATTTTCTTCATCATGTCTGTTGCCAGTTTCCCTGCCTCTTTCTGCCCAGGTTATTTATGCGAATATACAACCCTCCCCCACCACACGACACACAACACCCTGGAAGCCAAGGGGCCTCAGTTCAGCCCTCTGACAGTTGGGGTGGAGAGCTGCCTGTGACTATCCCCTTCCCGGGCCCCATCTCAGGGCATCTTTTTTTTCACCCCTTGTAGCCAGGAGGTTGCCTATCTCGTGTCATTCTAGAAAAATCACTGATTGTATTTATGCCTCATCTTTTATGTGGTAGGTTTTGAGTTAGATTTAGTCTTGGTAGCTGAAAGTTCAGCATTTTCTGAATATTTTCCTTCAAAACCACAACCATCCTTGGCAGCAAAGAGGCTGAGGGATGAATAGGCTTCCATGTTGCGTGGTTATAGATAGGGAGATGCCGGCAGAAATTTGCAAGCATTTGCATATATACAATTGTCTGTCTGATGTTTGCTTCCAAGCTTGCTCTCCTCCTCGGCCCCCTGTTCTCTTTGTGTAGCGAATTACTAATACAAATACAGATAATGAAATTTCTGATCCCAGCCTGAAAAGCCGACGCACATTTTGGAAGGTACCTGGGGAAAATGGATAGATTCTCTTGATCTTGTTGCTTTATCCAGACAAGGAAATGAAGAGGAGAAAGTAATTACCGGGGCTTGTCTTTGAAGGTAGAATGAGTGGTGCTGACAGGCTTCCTTTTCAGAGAATCTTGTAGAGATGCTGTTTTCTCGTTAATACCAGTAGGTATTTGCCTGGAAATAGAGTTTACTTATTAAAATGTGTGTTCAGCAGATGGGGCGCTGTCCACAGGAGGCCAAACAAGTCCAGTCCTTGTGCTTCAGAACAGAGTGGGTCTCTGCTGGATGACATTTGCCCCCAGGAGTGAGGCATTCCCCAGGGGAGCCACGCCAGTGCAAATCCCAGAGGCAGGAGGAAAAATTTGCCCCTGAATGCATTTCTGCTTCTGTGCACTCAGGAACCAGCAGCTTCTTCAAGAAGAAGCGTGAGTTTGTTGGGCAACTGGAGATGGTGGCTCAGTGGCCCTGATTTGGTGACGGTGACATCAGTATGCTCAGCTTCTCTGACTCCAAAATATGTCCCTATGAGCAATCAGAAAGTTCCCTGGAGAAAAGAGCTGAAAATCAACTGGAACTGGAAACTTATTGGGTTAACAAACAACATTTTCTTGCACCTGACCTTGCTGTGGACCAAAAGTTAGTACTCTGGTAAGCAAGCAACTAAAATGAAGCCCATGGTTTCTTAAGCAAACAATCAAATGAATAAACCATGAAGTTTTCATTGTGAATGTCCTATGTAAGTTACGGCGTAACATGATCTCCTTGGGTTTTAAGAGCTTATCTACTCTTTACCTCCTTTTAAATAATGCAATTCTGTCTGTCTGAACGGGTTTCTAAACAACCCAAGTTGGTGTTGACAGCTTGTATGAAAAGAGCAAATATTTGCTTTTTCTTTCACGTAAATATGTGCAGGCTGTCAAATGAGACTGGCTTAAAGAGGTTAAGATTTTGTCTTCCATAGCTCACTAAGGGACAGCTAATCTATACCAGAAATAATTTTAGATGTGGAACTGCAGTGTGGAAAATGGAGGCCTTCCACTGGTTTCAATGACATTAGTAGGGAAAAAAGTAGCTGAAAAAGATTACATAATGTTTATTTTGTCATGTGGCCTAAAGTATGTTGGGAATAGAATAATAAAGAGAGAAATAGTTTGGAAGACTGATCTAACAGCTATTACTCTATTGGAAATTAGTTGAATGGTATCCTAACACTTTAAATAGACACATGAAATGATATAACTTTACATCAGAACAATGTTAAATAAAAAACAGTGATAGCATTATTTTAGGTAAAGTAGATTCATTTTTTAAAAATATATTTGGTGTATATCTTTTTAAAAAGATTTTATTTATTTATTTTTAGAGAGGGAAGGGAGGGAGAAAGAGAGAGAGAGAGAAACATCAATGTGCGGTTGCTGGGGGCCGTGGCCTGCAACCCAGGCATGTGCCCTGACTGGGAATCAAACCTGCGACACTTTGGTTCGCAGCCTGAGCTCAATCTACTGAGCTATGCCAGCCAGGCGGTAGATTCATTTTTTTTTTTTGAAGCTAGTGGTATTAAAGAACTCATTGGGCAACAGTAGCTGCGTTCTTTGCTTTTTCCCAGTTCTCTCGGGGCACAGTCTTTGGAGCACGTAACGAGGGAGGGCGAGGCACGCTGTTATAGCTGCAGTTTTGCGGAGGAGAGTGAGTGACAACATTTCTCTTCACAATGAGGACAGTGCCATCCTAGTGGTGCGCTGGGACTGTACACTGTGGACACTTAAGCTTGTGTGTGAAGTTTGTTTGCAGATGTAATGGATACCAACCTGAATGTGAACTATTCATTATGTGCCATATTGCTTCTGTTAGGACTCACGCCACCGCCTGCCATTCTGGGTGGGACTGCGCCCTGATCCCCGCCCCCACCCCCCAACTTCGTCCCCTTTCACGATGCCCACTGCACAGTATTCCCAGGCTGTGTCAGCTGCAGCTACCTTGCTGGCCTGACAGGTGTTCCCCCTTCCCTGTCCACAGCGAGGAACCCACTGTCCCGGTACCACCGTCTGCCTTCTGCAATACATATTAGGACACAGAAGGAGAATTTTAATAAGACCCCCAAAGGGCCTGCTGCCATTTTTAGAGGGAAGGTTTCCTACAAAGGAAGCGCATGGAAACTCCCAAGAGAAAGCTGTTGAAAGCACCCCCAGCGAGGGGGACCGGTGTCATCCCATTTTATTGTCTACCTGTCACCGCAGCCCTCGCCTGATTCTGACAGGCTGCTCTTTCCTCTTGTAGCCACTGCTGCTTAATGTCATTTTCTTGGTCGAATGTCTTTATTTCTGACTTGTTACAAACCATTAACTAGTTTCCAGTTTTTCAATGTCCCAGCTACTTTTGACTAGTAAGTCATTTGGCATAACAAGGTTTCCCTTTATCTTCTTGCTAAAGAAAATCTCTACGTGAAATGATCAATCTTCCTATTTTTATGAATCCCAGCAGCTAGGAAGTGCCTGTCATTGGATACTAGGCATCTTTTCTGAAAGCATATTCCAACTCATGTAATAGAACGTGACAGACACACTGGGCAGGTAACCACTAGGTGCCAAGGCTTCAAATAATTTAGGTGAAAAGCAGAGCATTTTCCAAATATACTTCGTGCGATGATTACAAAGAAACACGCACAGTTTTTAACTAGATTGCCTGGATGAAATGTTTCCAAACATGAAGTTTTTTGAATATATTTTGAAAAGCATTCAGTGGTTTTAACAGTTGTCAGTCTCTATAACCATAGCTTGAAGGAGTGGTCCTTTGTATCATTGCTGAAATGAAGACAGGCTCTGCCATTGGACATTGGTGTTAAAAATAATATATTCAGACATGTGTCTTGATGACATATTGCTAAACCGTTAGAAGCAACTTAGACTTTAGTTTGCTTTGGCGAAAAACTGCTCACACATGAAATTAAGGGACCGAAAATTTAGAGAATCTTCTCCTATATGGTTCCATAGTGTTAAAGTTTTAAAAATATACTTTAAAAATGCACTTAAATGTTATGAGCCCATCTATTAATGAAATATTATACTGTTTAAATCCTTAATAGGAATATTTATTGATTCTTGCCTAATTAATGGATTAAGAAGTTTTAAGAAATCAGTTACTGGCCTAGCAATGCTACCCCTAGGGCCATCTTAGTGAAATCTATCTTAGGGAAATAGCTGAGCAGGTGCACAGCTTATACCATCGGTGCGTGTGGCATTGCTTTTTAATTGTGAAAAATCTGAGACAGCTTAACAATCTATTAATGAAAGAATGGGTAAGTGAACCATGCTACCTCTCTACAAAATGCAAGACTATATTGTTGTTTTAAAAATGAGCTACAAAATGTATGTGCTGGTACAGGGAATGGCTTTGATACATTGGCTAGTGAAAAAAGCAGATGGCAGCGCAGTGTACAGAGTGTGATGTTGTTTTTGAGGGTAGGGGGAACTCTCCCGCCTCCTCTATCTTTATATAAGCATAGAACAGTCTGGAAAGGTACATGCCAGACAAACTCTGGGTGTGAAGGAATGGGGGAAATCACAAGTAAGGCCTGATCATTTGCTCTCTATACCTCCCTAGCATTCGAGTTCAGATTCTCTGATGTTGACAGACAGGGTGAATTCACTCGACGACATGATTAAATAATTTAAAAAGGGAATCTCATGTCCTGGGAAGTTGAGGATAAAAGGAGGTAAATGTAGCTACTTGCAACCACTAACAAAGAAGCCTGGCTTTCTCCCACTCAGTTAGCTCTGGCGCTTAGAGCATGGGTGTCTTTCTACGTATTTTAACAAAAGAACCTCAAAATCTGGGTGCACATGCTGTCAACCCCGAGTTTGTGTCACTCCAGGCAGTGGTCCTCAGTTGGTTTCTTGGTGCTGTATTTCAAGGCAGCTCATAAATTATTAATAGTACATGTGTAGGTCAGAGACACACTAACCCTGACAATCATTCCATAATATTTTCTCTTTAGCATTAGAAGAGAAGAGAAGGGAGGAATCAATATGCAACATCAGAGGCACATTTCACATAGATATTGTACATGCACTTAGAAAAAAAGAGTCAGATCTTTACAAAAACCTGTCAGCCTGGCATTAATCTTGTATTATGAATAATGTGGCTATCTATGAATCTTTAATATTTTTTAAATGATGAAATTGTATGGTATGCCCCACCAAAGCAAATTTGATAAAATGTGAGAATAGATTGATCAATGAAGATATTGATATACGTGAATAAAAATATTTAAACCTTGCTCGTGAAAGCAGAAAAAGGGACAGCTATACTTTGACCTCAGGGTACATTTGCAGCCCCAATAAATTTAATTCTGGCATGATCCAGGATGCCTGGAAATGATTCTTTAAGTAAGTTATAAAATGATTGGTTGAAACCATCATCCCACTGGATTAGCAGCTCTGGTTATATACCACTAGCAACCAATATGGTGCTGGCCCCTAGCTTATATGAAATACCCTATTTGAAAATTCCCAACAAACACACACACAGATTAATGCTTCATTTAGAAGATACAGCAGTGCTTGCGAAAGATTACAAAGCCAATGGCTCATTAGAAATACTGTTATATTCATTTTTTTCCTATGAAGTAATCCTGGAATAATTTGTTCCAGGTTTTAATTTTCGGGGAAAGTAAGAAACGTAGATCAAGAACTTTGCTTCAGAAATTTGCCTAATGAAGAAATTTTCATCAGTGCTTGTTGAACTGAAGATAAAAATATAGTTTGTTTCTACAGATTTGAGGAGAATTAACATGTATCTGATTGTTAATATTTGATTCTTGTTTAATTATTTATGATACCAAGGAATGAATCTGTCAAGTAAATAATGAAATGCGTACATGCAGCATATGTAATTAGGTTAGGTGCATAAATCCAAAATGTTCACTTTATAGTTGTCAGCGTAAAATTTATTAATAATGAGGAATGGTAAGTGAGAAAAATTCTTAACACAGTCCACCTCATTAGTGTGGATTATAGCAATTGTTGGTCAGAGAAGAAGAGGAGGAGGAGGAAGAGGGCAATGAATAGGGGACATCAGGTTTCGTTTTCTTAGTTGTGCTTTACTTACTTAAAGATATTGGTGAACTGGAGTACATTTCCCTTCTCCCGTTTAGAAATGTGCGATGCGAACAATGAGCGGTGGATTTGAGCGAAGGTGCTGCAAATAGAATAATTCCACGTTGAAAAAATACAGGCCTCAGGGTTTCTAAACCTAAACAATTACCTAATGGGAGAAGTCAACTAATGTTTGGGAAGGAAAAACCTACTTTTATCATTGAACTGCCAGATTTGAATCTTAAAATTTGGCTTGAAATTCACCAGTGGTGAAGAGATGGCCAGCCATGCAGCATCCACTGAACTCTTACGTGTTTCTCTTTCTTCACTAGCCCAGGGCGAGCGGAGGAGAGAAGCTCCTTGTGAAGCATATCCCTTGTCCCCTGGTTCTGCCTGGGCCGCTGGGAAATGGAATGAGATGCGTTTGAGGAGAGCGTACCTGTGAGTGGGGCTCGATGGTACGTAGTACTAGGTGGGGTCTCGGGGTATGGTGTCACTAGAGGTTAGAGGACACGCTCTCTGCCCCTGAGGATACAGTCTGAAACCCGCCCCTGCAGGGACCTGGCTGAGCGGGCGCCACCGGCTCCATACTCAGGAATTTGACTGATAACCTGGTTAGATTTAGTTCTGTCCTTAATGTTAATCATTAATAACATGGGGGGCATAAAGGGTAATCAACCAGAAAACAAGATAGTGAGATCCCACACTACCACTAAGTAGCCTGGAAACTTCCAGAAAGTTCTGTAAATGCTAGGGCCTCACTTTCTTCACTTATCAAGTTAAAGGGCTACAGTTCTGGCTTTAATGGTCTGGGATCCACAGAGATGGTATTGTGCAAGCAACTCCATGAGCTTCTCAAAAAAAAAAAAGAGGAGAGAGGTAGTATTATTACACAAACATCCATCATCTGACTGGTATTTCTTACAGGGGCAGTTATACATTTATTAGAAGGTGAGAGATATAATCACAAAAGGAAGTCCATGTATTATGTTAGTAAATGATATGACTCTCACTATAGCCACCACTTAAGAACTTCCCGCCTCACATATATAAAAGTTAAAAGAGAGCTAGGAGTCCTATTTAGGATAAAGAAGTGACATTACAAAACATGGAGTGTATGTTGCAATTTCCCTACCTGCCTAGATTAAAAGAGGGTAACTTCAAAAGCTTCCGTGATTTATAGGTTTTCAAAAGGATGAAGATGGTGGTGAATAATCCAGTTATTATATTATTTGCTAAATCAACAGGATTACTTGCTATCCTCCTGACCTTAATTCTCAGACGTCTACAAACTAAAGAGTTTAGGACAAAAATAGCTCAATTCAGTCAAGCATTAATATTATTAAAGGAAACCCCCAGGAGGAATCCATACTAAGGCTAGCTATTTAGGAAAAAAGCAAACATGATTTTACCACCCAGTAAGAAATCACCAGTTGAATTCAGCCAATCAATTTGCCATTGACTAGAGTCATATATACCATTTTAAACATGTATTTTATAGAAGGAATCAATACAAGAATAATCTCAATGTGACTATTTTTGACTTCCAAATGATAAGCCATCATAATTTGCAGAAAGATGGTTTTAGTTCCCTTCTTTCTTGGGAATTACTCCCTTCCCCTTCAAGACCATATTCTTGAGGAAAATAATTTTTTAAAGCCAGTTAGTTTAGGGATGACTTGTACACAGAAACAGATGACTGAGAGGCTGGTTAGAATTCAGATTTTGTTTTAATATCACCTACCCTATCCCCTCCCACCCCCTAATACAACTCAAAGGTAAGTCCTGGCTTGATGATGTCATTAGCTTATCTCTCTTGCCAGGAAAATTCAGAGATAGTCATGTGACCCAGTTCTGGCCAATGAAATGAGAAGAAATCTTTGGCAGGGTCTTCTGATATAACTTCCCCACTTTTATCTTAGGAAGAAATTTAAGGTGAGAACAGTTCTACTTTTTGGCTTGAGTTTTCATGTGTTTAAGTGATGCCAAGAGCAATGGCAGCCATTTTGAGACCTTGAGAAGAGCTAACTGAGGCCAAGGTCAACAAACTGCAGACGGCAGAGTGGGGAGATGAGAAGAACCTGGGTCCTCGACAACATGAAACATTATTGAGCCATTAAATTAATCTCAGCACCTGCTACCTTGGGACTGCATCATGAAATACTACATTTTCCTTGTTGTATAAGCAAGTAGAGACAAGTTTTCTACTATTTACATCAAAGTTATCTTAACAAAGACACGAGATATAAGAAGTTATTTTATCACATGTAAGAGAAGAGCTCATCTTTAAACTGGGAGTGATTTTACTTGTTTGGATGAGCATATTTAAGTCCTCTGCTATTTCAATGTGTGCACTATTTTAAGAGTACTGGGTATAATATTACTTAATATTACCGAGAACAAATACTAAGTAACTCAACATTTTGTGTCACTAAATGTGAGGAATATCTTCTTGGAAGGAATAGTATTTAATCTGGGCCTGGAAGGATCAGTGCTGTTTGAACAGTTGGAGATGGGGTTCAAGGGCACTCTAGAGACTTTGAAGGGTAACCGTGTGTTTGGGGGTAAGTCATGGTGGACAGATAAGGCTGGAGCTGGTTAGGTGCAGACTGTGGAGTATCTGTAATGCCTCGCTGAGAAGTTTGGGCTTCCCCTCCTCAGTGGGGAGAAACCTTAGATTTGAGCGGGTCGCCACCTGTTGGTTCTGGATGACGTGGTAAAGCCCCTAGGATGCATTTTGTCTATCTTTTTGCATCGTTTCATGAAAGAGGTACATGATTTTAATGACAAGAAAAATCCATTTTCCATTCTAATTTGGATTCTGTATTTCAAAGTGACTGGTTAAGTAGCTATTGTTTTCCAAAACGTTCAAAACCAGATGCAAGCTCTCTAGAGAGACTACTTGGAGACCAGAAAACAACCTGTGTAAGACAGTCAAGCTCAGACACCGGGGTGTTGGCGGGCATGCCAGTTAGGTGGAGGGTCTGATACTCTGGAAAGGAAGAGATATCTTGCCTGTGTCTGCAAAGAGATGTCTCGGTGGAAAAGGGCATTGGGGAAAAGCTGCTTAGAGCCTTGGGACAGAATGAGACTGGAGATGAGTGTCCAGAAAGAGAAGCTCGAACTGTGAGGTTCTATTTTAAGTGCCTGGGAATAGACTTTCTTCAGTCGTGTTACTGATGAAGAAAGGGAAACAGAGCAGAGAAGAGATATGACCATATTTCTTGGAGCTTTTCATTTGCTTACTGCTTTACGTTTTCTTTCATATCAAAAAGGAATTGACCTTAAAGATAACCTGGAATGAACATGAGGCATCGTGACTTCCCTGCTGGTAGAGATGGGCTAGAAGGAGACGTTGCTGAACCTCAGCCCTGTCATTAAGAGTACTAAATCCAGCAGACCAGGCTACTCAAAGAGTAGCTCTCCCCTGGCTGCCTCTTCCAAGGATACCAGGCGGTGAACACAGTGAAATCACACACAGCACCAAGGTATCATCCAGTTGAAGACCTGGGAATTGTTTCTGTGTCTCTTTTAGAGCAAAGAAGCACTTCCCAGAACCCCCCAGCAGATGTCCTCTTGCCTGGAGTTGGCCAGTACTGGTCACCTGCTATTTCTGAACCAAGCCCTGGACAAAAGAAGGAGTGGACCAAACAGATTTAGACTATGTAGGATTTACCCTCGGGCCACAAGGGAGCTAAAGGAATGGCTAGGAGGTAGGGAGAGTGAAGGAAGGGGACCTGGGACAGCAGTGTCAGCTGCAAGAAGGGACCAGGAAAGGCGTACTGCAGAGTGACCGAGAGCTCAGGCTCTGGAAGGAGGCAGGCCTGCTTTCTCAACCGAGCTCCATAGCTGGCTTCCCTAAGCCTTGGTTTCTGGGGGAGCAATAGGGCTGTTGTGGCAAAGAGACTCCAGGTAAAGTTGGCATTATGCTTTGTGCATAATAAGCCCTCGGTAGATGTTTGATGCTATTGTTGTTGCTGATACTGTTGTTATTAATAAAAGTAACTGAGCTCCTCTCCTGGAGGAGCTCACAGGACTCCACATGTCATGACCAAAGCTGTCACAAGGCAGGAGGTGACTTCTTACAGGAAGCACATCTTCCCCCCTTAATGCCAAAGGAAGGAGAGAGGCTCTGTAAGGACTGCTTGCTCTGTAAGGACTGCTTTCCTTGTTGCACACGACTTGCCTCTATTCCCATAAGGATAGCTCAGCTAGGGCGGGGATTTGGGAGGGGGCTCCTGCAGCAGCATCCTCCTGGAGGTGGCTGGGCCCCAAGGCCTGGGGACAAGGGAGCACAGCACACCCTCTCACCTCTGTCAGTAGGCGCAAATGGGGCGCTGGGGATGCTCTCACCCAAATTCATCACCGTGGACAGGGTGGTCGGGCACCAGCGGGGTCCAACAGGTTATGAACCTTCCCTATGGTGTAGTCTATTTTCCTGCCATTTCCACACATTAACTAGATGACAGTCAAGAGGCCGGGCATTTCCTTAACATTCACAAGCAAATCTCAGCGGTTCCGCCGTTCTCAGCACCCTTACCCGCATTTCTATTTCCAAACAGAGGACCACTCGGGCCCTCAGCGTCGGCGCAGGTCAGGCCGGGTCCGAGCTGGGGCGGCGCAGGGGTGCGGGAGGGGAGCCACCGCCCGCCGGGCGGTTCATTGTGTCGGCGGCGGCGGCGCCCCGGGCCTCCGCCCGCAGCCGGCGGCAGGGCGGACGCAGGCAGCTGAGACGGGCAAGCCATTTGCATTCCCGGCAGTCATTTTTATACGCGGAGGTAATGAAGTTGTCAGCAGTGCCCCGAGTGTGGCAGAGCCTGAGATTCCAATAGAGCTGCCCGGCCCGCCCTGCCCCCCCGCGTCCGCGAGTCCCGGGAAGCGCGCCCGGCCCCGCTTTCCCCCGGGCGGCCGAGGCCACCGTGCCCGCCCTCGTGCACCGCCCCGCGCGCCGCACCCCGCTCCTGCTCTCCCCCGGGCGCCGCAGCTCTCTTCCCTTCCTTCCCCCTCGTCTTTGTCTGGTTTCCTCTCCGCGCACCCCCTCCCGCTCCGCGTCGCTGGGAAAGACTCAGCCCCAGAGACCAGCGACTCTACCCGGACTGGCTGCCCGCGACCTCCCGCACCCCAGACCCTGGCGCGCTGCCCGCTGACAGCACGTTTGGGGGAGAGGTAGTGGCAGCGAGGCGACGCCACCCTCGACTTGCCATTCAGCTCACTTCACCTGCCCCAGCAGCTCCTGGCTCTCTTCTTCAGGCCCATCTCCGAGAGATAGGACCTGAGACTGAGTTATCATTGTGGCCTGAAGTGGTTTTTTTCCCCTTTCTGAATCCCTATGTGTACTTATGTTTATGATGACAAAGCCCAAAACCCACCTGCCTACTCAGGGTGCTAAGCAAAGGCAGGTTCAGCACTGGTAAGGAAGTGAGGTGGAAAGCTAGACACACACCTGCTTTGAGATAGG